TATATATATATATATATATATATATATATATATATATATAGAGTACTTGTCATAACAACAAAGCCCACTCTTGTTAGATCCTCGTGACCGCAGTGTGCTGAATTACTCTCAGATATGCTCTCCTTTTTCTCGCTTTTATGAACTAGTTTGTATGAATTGAGGATCATACATTTCTGACTGATGTTTTTTATTCACACCAGTAGCTTCAGTTTTTCCCCTCTGCACGGTATTAATTTGCAGTATCCTCTCTTTCTTTTAGTTCGCTTGACGGCAATTTACGCAAGATGAATCGGCCGTTTCATAATTTGACCAGTGTCCTGTTGCTTATCGCCTTTTGGGTAAGCTGTGCTAACTGTTGGTTATTTGATTCTATCGTTTGTCTTCCTTTGAAAATCACATTAGCTCTCTGTTGTTGGTAGTTAGAACTTTGTTTACGAATGATCGGCATCGCGCAACAAAACACCCGGAAAAACGCTTTGATTCATCTGTGTAGTTCTTTCTCTCACTACCTAATCGTACGAACTGCTTCCCTTTTACGCTACTGAACTGAGGTGAACCTTGCTAGTCACTGCTGATCCTGATCTCACGTGTACAAACCATATAATGTCAGTGGGGACAAATCTTCACGATCCGTTGAAAATAATGCGGGACAGATGGGTGTGTGTGTGTGTGGGGGGGGGGGGGGGTGAGCCCTGCACCAAATGGCTGTTTGTGTGAAATGGATTGTGATTGAAGTGTTGGTGATCACCAGTATTATCAGGGTTACTCAAAATCCAATCAACCGATTTCACCCGATCGAGAACAGCCATCCGATGCACGACTCACCCCATTCCCTGCCCCGGGTGCCGTTGCGAATAATATATTTTTGTCGAATACACCTCCAGAACTGGCGAAATGGTACCGGGTACGTATGCCTGATTAGCGGCATATATATATATATTGGTATATCACGAGTTCACGTAGTCCAAATATGATAGAAATGGATGATTCTATTTGAGTAGATAATGAATTCTTCATGTAAATGAGCCGTGAGCTAAAATGCTGGGAAGCACTGACCAGCTGTTTCGACCTGATTGAGTCTCATTAGCAGTGCTAATCCATCAACCCAACTGGGGCTCAAACCCGGGACCTCGCAGGTAAAACACAAGCAAACTACTCGTTCAACTAGCGCTGAGATGATCGAGGTCAGTGGTCGGCAACAAGCTCGCAAAGATGGGTTGTCCTATATCGTGTTTATTCCAAGTGAGATACGGTTTGGTCAGCTGCCCAGTGGCCGAGTAGGTAATATGCTTGCGTTCTACCGGTGAGGTCCCGCGTTCGATCCCCAGTTGGGTCGATGGCTTTGCACTGCTGATGAGACCCAACCAGGTCGAAATAACTGTCCAGGGCTTCTCAGTTTTTCAGCTCACGCTTCATGTACTCCAGATAGTCAGATTCTTAAAAAGGGAAGGGTCGACTTCTCAGTTTCACCACCGCAGTTACAATTTACAGATCATTAATCTGGATGTCTGCGTAGCATGAACCAAGCTTTGATCCACGTGCATATATGCACACCGATCCGTGTATGCGTGTGTGCATTTATGCGTTGACTGCAACACAGTTAGCAACGAGATGTTTCGGAGACAGCTTAGTGAACCTGGTTGACATAGCCAACCAACAATGGATGAGAATGACTGTCATAACGACGTATGCTGTTTCTCTTAGAGTCGGATCAGAGTGCTCAGGCGTCCACTTTGTGCATGAGCACACAAAAATCAACTCGCCTACAGTGAAATGACGTTCATGTGATTCTATGTCGTTACCCCTTGTCGAGCATGATCAACAAACACCAGATACAAGTTGCACGATTGATTGCGTAACTAAACTGTCAAATTTTTGATTGATTGAACTGTGAAGTGGGTCTCTGTAGCCAAGGCAATTGGCTTGGCATGATTAGATTGCGACATTGCGCTTGGTGGCCCCTAATGAGTACAGTGGACAGGCCCTCACGGTCACTGCCATTTAGACAAAGGTTTTAATAACAAGGAATGCCATTGACTATGTGGAAACAAAACTCAACCAAGGTGCGAGATGGAACGAAAAGACACAAGGCGGTATCTATTGTCCTAAGGTGGACAGCATGTGTGCTCACACGCCGGCGCACGCTCATCAGTATGCGTATATCATCATCATCGTGCAGCGAGATACAAAGAAGCGAACTTCACTGATCGCTGCCAAACTCGCAATGCAAACAAAGTTAGCGGTAAAAGTTAATGTGGACAGGGATTTGACTTGTTTTGAGGGAATGGGGAAGAAGGTGAACCTCTATGATCAAGACACAGAGCAAGCGTTTTCTGGGCTGATAAGAAATGATAACAAGAACGCCACCGCTGCCGGTTCGCTGCCATATCCTTCAATGTATCCAACCAACCGGTTGTGGAATCTTTCGGACCCCAACCTGAAAGGCGAGAGACACCTGCTCTACCTAATGGCCATGTGCATTTCTTCATGCCTCGTCTCCACGTCATCTGTTAACCTCCACGTGGTTTCCTACAGCCCGGATTAGCTACAGCGAATAAAAAGCGATGCGGCTCACGACAGCTGGTCATACGTAATACGTGCCCTAACCAGCGAAGTCTACCATTCTGGCGGGTTCATACCTGATAGACTCCCAAACACACGTCGGCTTACCCGCACGTTACTAACCCGTTCACTCCATCACATATGGACTAAACTACGTAAACACCGAAAATCGAAAACTTCTAGTCGACGGATATCTTCTACTTGCAAATTCAGCGTCTCACAACCATAAAACAGAACTGAACGAACGCTAGCACAATATACACGACCTTTCAACTTCAGTGAAACGTGGCGTCTACGCCAAAGGTGTTTCAGTTCTGCGTATGCCGCTCGAGCCTTGGAAATGCGGGCGGTCATCTCCTTTGCTGCACTACCGTCATTGGTCACGCAACTACCCAAGTATGAAAAGTGATTCACTACAATTAATTCCGGGCCGTTTAGTTTCAGAGCGAGGGTAGGCGACACCCAGTCTTGCAGCATCACTTTGCACTTTGAAGGTGCAAAGTACATACCGAATGTGGCAACAACACTTGTTAGTCTATCAAGTCAACTTTTCACGTCCTCCATATATTTCAACAGACAGACGACGTCATCTGCGTATTCTAAATGGCACAGCTTTTCTCCAGCTGTCCATTTAATACCTACGTTTTAGAGTCTACTTAGTGTGGTCTCCAATATTTCGTCTACGACAAAATTGAACAGGAACGGCGGAAGCGGGCATCCTCGAAGAACGCCGCTGTTTGTGACGAACAGCTTACTTAGTTCGTTGTAGACCCTTACACGACCGGAGGTATGTGAGTATAGCGACCTCAGTAGGTTAAGGTACTTTTGGGGCATTCCTTTTCGAAGAAGGCAGCCCATCAGAGCTTCGCGGTCAACTAAGTCGAAGGCTCCTTTCAGGTCAGGGAACACTGCGATCGTTGGCCGACCGTGAGTATGACGCAGCTCAAGGATCTAACGCAACGTAAAAATCTGATCAACACATTTACGGCCAGGCCGGAGTCCGGCTTACTGTTCACGGATGTTGATTTCTCCTAAAGGCGTCAGACGTCGAAGTATAACCGACGATTGGGATCAAACTGATCCCGCGGTGGTTTTCGCAATCGTTGCGAAATCCCTTCGTGAAAATGGGAACGATCGGTGATTCGCCCCAAGCTGAAGGAATGCACTCTTGCATCCAAATGTTGCGCAGTATCGTAGTAATAGAGGTTACGAGGTAATCATCTCCCATCTTGAAGAGAATGGAAGGGAGCTCATCAGGTCCTGCTGCCTTTCCTCGCTTCAGAGATTGAATGCAAGACCGAACTTCTGCTTCCGTTGGAGGATCGCATGACACTGCCCACGGAGCTCCAGTCGGAGATGAAGCAGCCTGGTTAGCACTAAGCTAGCTGAACTGTTCGTTGAAGTTTCCTGCCTAGCGATCGAGTCGTTGATCCCTATTGTGAATAGCTCGTCCCCTCTTATCGCAGGCTATTTCACTAACTGAGGTTCGCCGACCTCCCGTGTTGCGTATCAGTCGGAACAGTCTTTGACTATTCCCTGATGCCGCTGCTATTTCCACTTCACTAGCTTTTGTTGCTCACCAGTTCCCACGATCCTTCTCGAGACTCTTCGTGAGCCGACGTTGTAGTTGCCGCCTCACTCTATTTTGATCCTGGCAGGTCGGGACTTGCCGTTTTTGCTTCATTAGGGCTACTGACTTCTGAGATGTCCAATGTTTCCGATGGGTTTGAGGCTCAGAGCCATGAGGAACGTTTTTTCTCATTCCGATTCAAAGCGGTGTTTCTCTGGTTGCCTAATTTATCTATTTCATCCCGTAATTTCGTTTGCATGTCCAGTTCCTACCACCACTCCGTACGAACGAAAGCCAGAATATATACGATTTCACTGCGCTAAGTATTGATCATGAATGGATCCCTTTAACGAATTACAAGTAAGTCGCTGAACCTTGGATTGCATGTTTTTCCGAAGGGGCAAAGTTTGCATCATTGTAAATGTGGCCACCAACTGAGGTTTGACTGAGACCAATTATCACCAGCTCCAATCCTTGTATACCAATTTCGCTGGTCGTGGTCTTCGTATTCTGGCTTTTCCGTGCAATCAATTTGGAGGTCAAGTGAGTGTTGGTTTTTACTCGGAACGCGATTGATAACTATTCTCCCCCCCCCCTCGCCGCGTCGCGCAGGAACCGGGCACAGATGCAGAAATTAAGGAGCGTATTCTGAACAAGTTCAATGTGACGTTTGATTTGTTTGCCAAAGTTGATGTGAATGGTGAGAATGCAATACCGTTGTACGAATTCTTGAAATCGAAAATTTCCGGACCGTTCTATTACAAGTAAGTTAATGCCATTTGTAAGAGTTCTTAACGCTCCCTCCAGCGATTAAAATAGGAGGGTTGCAGCATTGGTTAATCACTAACGTTGTTTCCGGTATTCCTCCATATATTTCCCATCGATCTGCTTTCGGTTAAATGATCAGTCCATAATGCAGTAACGTAGAAACTTCGCTTTATGTTTCTTTTCTGGGTTTCCTTTTTGGTTTCGTTGCACACAAAAATCATGTAGAACGATTTGTTTGTGTTTCAAAGAAGCAGTTGTTTATCACGACCCCATTCGAACGTGATGGATGCACTCGTGGTGAGACTGGTACCCTCATGGATTGTGGATGAATAACTTCCCTTTTCGAGCACCCGAAGTGAACCGCGCGTTCGCTTCGAGAATGACAATCAATGTGCACGTGAAAGGCAGATTATCTTTACTGATCTTTACTGTCGACATCTGTTTACTCTCACCAGTTCACATTTCGCGCATCCTATCCTAAGTCTAGTGATCTGTTTGAGTTTATTGGTACAAAGTGTTGCAGTCACTTAACGAGATGTAAAACGGACGGAAGCCATCTTCAACTTCGTGTTGGCTTTAGTGGATAACAGTCACTGGATTGGTCCTGAACGTCGTGCAGTNGCAGTTCAAGTTGTGCACAGAGCCCCACCGTCCCCCAGGAACTCTCTAAGGACGATCAGCTTGTAGGCTGCAGTGATTGCTGAGATTAATCACTTTTTGAACTCAAGCCGACCTGTTCTCTTTTAACAAACATTCCAGATATCATGGGTCAAAGTAAACAATCGCGATATGCGTTGAACTTCCATCTCTGCACCAACTGAAAATTCCACTTTTTCGCCCCCCCCACTCATGATCTTCACTACACTTAAAAAAGCCGCGGTAACTAAAATCGTCGCACGAAAGCGCAAAGTTGATGTCCGTGTAAATTGAACTGAAACTGAAACCCGACAAGAGTATGCGGTCAATTCTCTCTTTTCAACTGTAAGAGGCATGAATGGGAATCACTCTTCAGGCTCCAACTTGTGTTCTCAACACCACGAGAGAAATCCGAAGCAAGCCCTTCGCGAGATCACTTTCAAGAGAAAAGACCACATTGCAATGCACTGCACAATTTATTATGTCCAAGACGATTTCGCTGCATGATGCATACTGCAGAAAAAAATAATTATGTAAGGATTTAGTATGGCAACAAAGAAGAGTAAGACAAAACGAAACATAAAGGGGTAAAAGGATTTTTCACCAGGGTAAGGATAAACTAATATAACATAATCCTTTTACCATCCCCCCTCTTTATGTTTGCTTGTTTCAGTTTATTTCACTCCTCTTTGTTGCCATGCTA